CTTTTGTACTAGTTGAATTCTTTTATCTTTTACCTAAAGTCAAAGTCTATGTTTTATAAACTTTGAGTTTATAAAAATTAAAGAACTCTTCTCCTTTCAAGGGGTTTGGCCCGAAATATTAAACAAAGAATGAGGTTGTTTGTCAACCTCCATGCATTGTCTTCCCATGCTTCTTAAGGCTAGCATTACTTTAGAGTATTTTAATGTAAATCCCTTACATGTGCATGGGTATATAAGAGAGTGTTTTGCATGAGTTTTTGGCTAGTTTTTCTAGTGAACTCTCTCCGTTCTCCATATGGCCGAAACCTCATCCATTCTCCTCTTCTTGTTATCTTTTGAATATTGTTGCAAGATTAGAAGCCTTATTGAGTTGTCTCCTTTAGTGCTTATTTGATTTAAGTACTTAAAGGATTAACACACTCAAGAATACAAGAAGGAACTAGCATCCTAAGTGTCTTACTCTTGATTGGGGATACACATAGAGAAATCATGTTCTTTGATTTTTTGCTATCTTCATCAACACCCCAAAACCAAGTGGGTTCAAAGGCTTCAACAATTGTCATTCTAAAAACTCTTGGGTTGTTTTTATTTCATTCTAACCTCTATAATTGGATCCTTTAGGTTTTAGTTTTGTTATGACCTTAGAGTAAACTTGTAATTTCTAAAGTCTTCCGTTGCGGTTTTTGTGAAAACCAAACTTATATTTTTTATCGAAACCCATTTTCCATGCATTTTGGTTATATAAAAGTTGCCTTCTAAAAAACAATGAGTTGTTCGTTATAATATTTGATCTGTTGTTTTGTATAAACAATCCATTTGGACCTTTATGTTGTGTTTGGTTTATACTTATTTATTCATAAGATGTAATAGATAAATAGGTAATTTTTCATTTGTTGATTTGTTGTAATAAATTAGTTAGACTACTTGTATTTGTATTTTAAATGTAACAAGACGAATAAATGACCTCATTAAAGATAACTTAACCATTTAAGACCATAATCCCAACCATAATCTTCAACTTTTGGTTTTGGGCTTAATTATAGTCTTAATGGTTTTAGTGTTGCAACTTTCACAACATGAAGATTTGAAGACCTTTTGCAAGCAAGAGTTGCCTTGGCAAGTGGGAGCTTGAAGACCTTTTTAAGAGTCCCTTAAGTCCTTAGGAATCACTTAATAATATTTGTAATGGGTCACAAAAATTATTAGTAGACATGGTCTGCTTTATACATATTGTAATGCATGCATGTGATGTTTATTTTATGTTCTTGTATGTTATAGTTTCTGAATGGAAATGAGTTTTACATGTCAAACAACTTCTTAACATAAGATAATATCACTTAGATTTTAAGTAAAAAAATATTTAAAAGAGAATATATGATGTTTATAAATGGATATTTATAAAAACGTTATTACCGGTTACTAGTTAAAAATTGATTTTTTATTGAAAATAGTTTTATTGTAAAACTTACAAATACCTAACTTTAAAATATTTGAAATAGTTTAAAATATATTTAAAAATTATATAAACTCCATGTATTTATAATAAATAAGGAGTTTTTATTAAAAAGAAAAAAATCGGTTTATAGCGTTATAACGGCAAATAATAAAACTAATGATTATTTTTTGTGTCAAAACTTTATATATGATATTGGTGTTTTAAACATAATACAACATGTTGATATTATGTTTTATGCATGCCAAATGAGATTTAAAACATAAATATCATCCTCTCGGTTTTGGTTTATCAAAATATGACTTTTTATCATAAGATGTATAAAATTGAGTTTATAAAATAAAATAAGTTTATTCAATAAATTCATGAAGTCATAAGATTTTGATTGTTAAAATGAGATTTAAAATAGTGATTTTATAACTCATCCAAAACTCCAAGTCTTAAGTATAAAATGAAGTTTTATTAAAACTATTACCGTTTTTTAAAACCGATCTACGACTAAACTTTAAAATACCGGATTTTAGTTTATAATTGATCACAATTAATGGAAAATAAAATGAAGTTTTATTTGCCACCAAATTTTTGGATGCATGCAATATTCACAAGACCATGTTTTTATAAACTATAATTGTAAAACATATATAAAAACCTTTTCTAAAAATACAAGTCATTGTCGTCTTTCTGAAGAACACCCGTTATCATTTGTATGGTCTTAGTGGCATAAGGTCGCCTGGTTATTAGGATTTTCTTATGATGTTCGGGGTAGTTTAATAGTTTTTGGTTTTTAAAGGGTCACCTTGTCGCTGGAAAGTTACAATACTACAAGTTGTTTCAAGTAGGATGACTTGATCAAAATCTTTTGTGATAAAGGTCACTTAAGCATGAGTGGTCTAAGGCATAGATGAGATAAACATGTCAAGTTAAACAATACTTGTTTAAGATCCCATAATCTAGAAGTTACATATTGTATGCAATTGGTAATTGCTACCTACCGAGATTGATTAAGTTAATAGAATAAGTGTCACCTAACCATTTACTTGTTTCATTACTAGGATCCCATACTTTAATAAATTAATGTTTTAAGAAACAATCAAATGTATTAATTTTTAAAGACTAAATATTGAAAATACTAAATGAAACTTTGTTAAATTCTGTTAATATTCTTTCACCCAGCAAAACCCCTCTCTTGTTGAGTTTCAAGAGATAGTAACATTTGATGATTAAAATTTCTATGACTGGTATAATATCTTGAGGTTCTAACTTAAAAATAAATAGAAATTATATATACTAAAAGATCACATACCTCAATAACGTCTACAAACTAGTTAATCTGATCATGATGCTTTGATCGGAGCACTATTGTGATGACATTTATGTGTCTTACATCATACTGGAGTAATTAGCTTTGACTTGCAGAAAATCTTGGATAATTATGAAACATATCACACTACTAGAAAAACAACCTTTTACGGCGCGCAATGCATGTCGTAAAACGCTCAGACGACGCACAAATGCGTGTCAAGGAAGGCCCTGTCATAACGAGAGACGATACGCTTTTGTGCGTCGTCTATTTACGATGCGCTCTTACAACATGCAATGCGTGTCAAGGAAGGCCCTGCCATAAAGAAGACGACACACATTTGCGTGTCGTAACTTTACGACACACATTTACGACTCGCATTACGTATCATTAAAGCCCATGTCATTAAGCAATACGACACACATTTTTGAGTGTCATAATTTTAAATGTTTTAAAAATTATATATTTTGAAAGATTTAGTAATTTTCAAATTAAATAACTCATTAAAAGTCGCATAATACAAAATAAAAGACAATAAATAAGAAACATAACTCATTGCACTAATATGTCAAATACAAATAATCATTCCAATAGTAAGTACTTGTAATACATTTATAATATTGCATAATACTTATTATAGAAAAAAAACATGTACAATCTGTTAGATCCATTTAAATGCTTGATTTGTTACCACTTCCTCCTAATTATCCGCCCCACTACCCCTGCAGTTAAATCAAGACACCTAATTAATCAAAAACTTCGACATACTACTACAAAAATAGCCTTTAATGACATGCATTAAAGGCCCTTAAAATGCATGGCAAGTGAGTGCTTGGAGCATTAGCTAGCTGTTATTCTATTCAGTATGACACTAAATAAAACAACAAATTCACCTTATTAATCAATTGATGTTAACTAATATAAAACAATTAATGAACTTACTATTAAGCAAAGAAAGAAACTAACCATTGGTGGGAGAGTTTGAGTTTGTCCACCTTAAAGTATTCATTTGACCACTCTTGGTCTTTTTTGACTGACTATGGAATTTGTGTTTTCCATTGTTTGTGGTTTTTTGTTGTTTCTCTTAGTCTTAGTCTTATCTTAGTCCACAGGTTCTGATTCTGCTTTCTAGAATATGATTCAACCCTCCTACATCATCAAATCAAGATCCTACTTATAAGTTATAACTCACTGTGAATAATTTAACTTTGCTTATAAGTTATAACTCACTGTAAATGGCACCAAGAAAGGAGCTTGTTTCAGTATATCACATTCCCTTGTGTTTTCAATCATCGCTTGTAGAGTGTAAAGGAATATTTTCTATCACCACAAATTCAAACTTATAAAAAATAATATGTACATTACCTATTAAGCATAATAGGACCAAATGTTAAAACAAAACCTCGAAGAAGGAACACAATTGCAAGAGAAAACCTTTTGAGTATGAAATTGAAAAAATCAGCCAAAAATGTAATTTACTCAACACCATATTTGTTTAACTAACCGTGTCTTGTATCCATTGCGTTCAAATAGAACCAAGTTTATCATCAAAAAAGGCTACACCTAATTGACTGGCCAATAGTGGAATGTATTCTATAATTGCCAAACAAACCCTCCAATGTCTATCTTCTGCCAGCTAAACCATTGTTGGAAGTAAAGATTGGGATAAAAGATCGATTTCGATGACCTGTCAATTGTTGTGTTTTAAAATAGCAATCTACTTTTAAAATATCAATCTCCACACTCACATCATAATCCATTCTCATTCAATTCCTACAATTAAAATGATCAGGATGATGATGATTGAGGACATTTACGTCTTTTTTGCACATACGAGAGAGTGAGAGAGAGTGAGAGAGAGAGAGAGAGAGTGAGAGAGAGAGAGAGAGAGAAGAGAGAGAGATTACAAGGGAAAGTGGAGTGGGGTGTGAGTGTTAATGAGGTAGCCTCTTACAACCGAGAATCTCCTACTCCTTGAGGAGATGATGGAACCTGGTGAGGCGAGCTTAGAGGCTCACAAGACTTGTTGCTTTGCGTGACAGCATACAACTTAACTGAGTCATGTATTTGTCGATAAGGCTTCCTGGTTTATCAACTCCTGCCAGCAGTTTCATTTCCTGATTTCCAACAAAGCTAATAAGTAGTTTTTCTATTCATTTTTATACATGCAACAATATTTAAACAATTTTCTCCTTACTTCACGGACTATTTCCATTGTATCTTCAATCTGTTTCCAGAAGCCTTCTGTCAGGTGTCATCGCGGGTGTAATTTGAGAATGATGGAGAAATAGGTTGTTGTTTATCGAAATCTGAAAAGATGATATCTCGTTGTGACTGTGCACCTCTTCTATTACCTGTATCTGTAAATACTATTTTTGTGTCTTCAATGTCAGGGAGGCTTAGTGTGTTTGCTGATGATGAGTCTTTTATAGTTGTTTGTGAGCTTCCAACTTGATCTTTTTTTGAACCTTTTGAAAGGCTTTTAACTCTGTTTATTATCACGTAGTAAAGTAATATTAGATACATAATCAAAGAACTCGGGTTTTTGGGGTGCGCATAGAAAGAAAAAAAAAACATACCTATCAGCATATCTCAAGGTATTGAGAGTATGTTCACAAGAACCAGCATTTGGTGAAATGCATGATATCATAACAGTCCTTGAGTTTCCAACAAACAATCACAAAGAACTTCAGTCAGTTTTCTCCCACGAAATGGGATATGAAGCTGATCGTTATCAAGTGCACGAATGCACTCCTTCAGAGCCAAAAGACTCTTATTGTTTCATCACCTTCAATCCTGTAACAAACACGTTACAAATAAGGAGGACTAGAACTGCAAATGAAAGGTTTTGGGACCAAAATTGTAATTTACTAAGAAAGAATACCATGTTTGTCGATCATTATCGGTATATCATCAACCTACAAAAACAAAAAAACAAAAAAACAAAAAAAAAAACTTCAAAAAAATATGATTTGAGTATAATAAAAATATGTTTTGGGAATATAAAGTCAAAGTTAGGTTGTACTACTGGTCTAAATTTTGTGTGAGAAAGAAACTCAAAATGCTTCATTGTTGTATCTAGATACCTAAACTGGATTATTTTAAGCAATTTCAACACCTGCATAATAAATAATTATTATTACAAAGTAGAAACATTATTATTATAATAAAAATATAACATCAAGAAAAAACAATTACCTCTTGATTGATTAATATTTAATCCTCAGAAGAAACTTTTGAACTCCTAAAATCTTTTTTATGATTAGCAACCCTCTTCATGCAAACCGCCTTTGATCTTCCAGGAACAACAGTTGTGATATTCTCCCACCTCAAGGCTGAATCTTTTGGGAAAACTTTTAAAGCATTAAGTGGAGCTATGTCCTTGGTGGAGCTCCAGCTGTATATGTAAGAATAAGAAAATGAATGCGATTTTTTTGGAACCCCAACTGTATCTGTAAGAATAAGAAAATGAATGCGATTTTGAAGTAGAAAATGAGAAAGTGTTAGGGAAACAAGAGTGAAACCTCGAGGTTGTCAGTAAAGCGAGGTGAGGCGAGGTGAGGTGTTGCAATCATTGATTGTTGTAGAGGCCAAGGAGAAGTGAGAGCGTTTTTGATCTTGAAAAAACACTCCTGCGTTTTTGTGGAATTTAGTAGTGTGCCGATATAAAAGCCCTAGTTCATGGCTGCGCACTTGTGAGGTCCAGAGCATAAAATCCATAGTGCTTCTTGCATATTGGGGACAAGAAAAACCTTAAAATCGCCGACGTCTCGAGTTTGAGGAGTCGTAGATCCCCAATCGCCGACTCCATGAAAGATATTATGAGGTTCGATTTTTGGGGAAGGCGGGGTACTTGAATTTTTTGGGGATTTGGTTTACCCTGTTAGTTGCATCAAAAAGGGACGCACGTATTAAAATTTTATAAAACGACATCTCTACACGACACCCACTTAAATTTAGTTGCCTTCCGTGTTTTTAATTTTTTTGTTCGAAATTAATTTTAGGGCACGCACAAATGCGTGTCCTTTGTCCTTCAAATTTTGCAAAACTGACATTATTTTTTAGGACACACACAAATGCGTGTCCTCTATCAGCGCGTGTCATTGTTTGCGCATCATTAAAGGGCTGTTTTCTAGTAGTATCATATGTATCATCAAGTGAAGCAGATATTTAATCATTAAAGGGTTGTTTTCTAGTAGTGTCAGATGTCTCATCAAAAAGTATTTCAAGTCTGTTCAAGCATTAATTAACGGAAGTCTAAGAGATTGTGTACTCAAATAGACTTATAATTCAGTTGAAGGAAATACAAAATAAATCCAGAAATCAAGAAAGGATCTAAATGATTGATGTGGTTTCTATTGTGGAAGAAATTGGACACTAAAAGAGGAATTGCTCCTCAAATCTCATCGAGTTGAAGAAGTTTGACTTAGACAAGACTTCAAATATCTATATGATAGAACTATTTATTTTTCTATCATTCACTTGAGTATGGTATACTTAAAATGACACTAATAATTGATATTATGGGTTGATGATTGGAAGAAATAATCAATTGATTACAAACGAATGGTATTTCGTGTTGAAGATATAAGAAGTGTTGTTATAGTCTTTATTTAAATAATATACGTTTTATACATATCCTTATAGGGACATGTAACAGTTGTAATTTCTGAATAAATCTAGATTTACTTATCGTTTAATAGATGTTCACATTCATGTTTTGAAACGATGTATTTTGTGTTAAAGAATATTTTCTCATAATGTTGATTATGAAGTAAATCTATAAGGTTTCATTAAATTGATAGTTATGATCATAACACATATATAATCAAATAATATTTGATTGTAACTTATCTATGTCATAATCATCATGACTATATAAATAATAAATACATATACCAACTTCAAGAGGATGGAATTTTTGAATGCAAATGATCTTGATTCATTTGATATATGTGGATCATATTTATATGGGAAGATGATTCACAAGTGTCTTTATCTATTAGTAGTTAAAGAACAAAAGGATTGACAAAGAATTATACATAAGTAATGTATGTAATCTTTTCAATGTACGAATAGAATTAGTGATAGATACTTAGTCAATTTCACTGACGACGTTTATTCGTTATTGTTGAAAACCTTTGATTTTCTCAAATTGTTTCATAGTGAAGATTGATATATGACTTAATGAGACCATCATTTACCTTTCGTTGTGATAAAGAAAATGAGTTTTGTAAACCAAGTCTACTTGGAACATCTTAAGAGTTGTGGAATCGATTCAAAACTCATTCCGACAAAAACACTCACTCATCATTAGTATGGTTCTTGTGGCATAGGATCACCTCATCAGTTGGATCTATCTTTTGATGTTCGAGGTAGCCTTCATATTCTCTAGTAGGATAGGGTCACCTGGCCACTAGCTGAATGTCGATAGTTTAAGTTTTTTAAGAGGATAAAATAGACCTTTCAGCCTATTATATTATGTTTTAAGAAAAAACTATTTACTTAATTAAATTTTGGAATAATGCTCACTACAACAAATATATATTGAATATGTATAATATAATATATATATATATATATATATATATATATATATTTGTGTATGTGTGTGTTTCCAAGAAAACAAGTGGATTAAATAATTTCACTAGAATAATGATGTAATGGTTTATCCTTATCTAAAAGTTATGGAGTTATAAAGCTTATGTTAGACAATAAGCTTAAGCACTATAGCATCTACTAATTTCATTTATGTAGACTATCCTAAATGATTATTTAAGATGAAGTTTTTAATAATCCCACTAGTTGTCATTCCATAAGACAAGTGATTAGCAAGTTCTTTTTCTAAGTGGGAGCTATTTGGAAATTTAAGTGAAAAAGATCCATAAGATAAATGCATCATAGTTTGGAAGTAGCAAATTTTCAACTATTTTGAATCTGCTCAATAGTTGATCAGAAACTAATAAGACACATAGAGATGAATTCATGTATGATTATCAAGTATGATCTTGATTAATCTTCCTCGATATAATATGAATATAAAGAGCTAATGAGTTTTCAAATGAGAAACCATACATGAATGAAAATCCCTCCAGATTTAAGCTAACATCTCAAAGTACGGATCTTCTTTCTTAGAAGATAATTACATAGTGTGATTAAATTATAAATCAAGAAGACTCTTGTGTTTTATACAAAGCTAGTGGGAGTGCAATAACATTCCTAGTATTATAAGTAGCCGACATACTAATACCCGGAATAAAGATCTATATAGATAGATCATGGCAACTTAAAGGATTAAGTAAATTGCATTAATTGTCAAGGATCCTAAAGAGCTTAAGATAAAGGACCCTGAGAGAGTTATCTTGTCAAATACCACATGACATGATTTTTGAGCAAAATCCTAGTGCAAATGTTTTGAACTAGATAACATGATTGTATTCCATATGATGTTGCAATTGGAGTAATCATATATGTCATGATTATGCATGAAAGCCAAATAAATCGTATGCTTAGAGCATGTCGAATGATACCAGTATAATCTGAGAACGAGTCATTGTGTGACTTATAGGAATATTCTAAAGTACTTTGAAGAACTATATGTCTAATTTGCGGAGTATTTGAAAGAAATCTATGTTTAAAGTTGATACACATGTGCTAAGCTATCAAATAGATTGAGATGACTCTTAGTTACAGTTGGGCGTATCCTCATTATGAATGAAGAGAAATTTACATGGATAGTGCTTCCATGTAGATTTTAATTACAGTTACAAATCAGAGTTAGAGTACATTGTGGTTTGGAGAACCACATGCAAAGATACATAATGTATAGTTCATTATGACTATGAGTAATCCCATTACGTAAGTATTGGTATCTAAGTCATATTTAAGCATCTAATACATTCTCAATAGTTTTCTGTAATACCCCAACTCTCAGGTATTTGATTTGGGCATAAGTTTTTCTAGATTTCAAGGCCTACTCGACGAGTCGGTTGTTCAACTCGTCGAGTAGCAGCGGGTTGGTCTATGTGTTTAAGTGACCTACTCGTCGAGTCCATGGGGGAGAGTCGACGAGTAGGAGCTGGAGGATGAAACCCTAATTTTCGGGGTTTGCACCCTATTTAAAGGATCATTGGCCTCCCCATCCTCCCCTTTACAACCCCTGAACGTTCCAAAATCCTAATTCGTGTGTGTATGCTACTTTTGGTATGTTTAAACTTTGAAGAAGGATTTTGGTGAGAAAAGCTTAGGAAACAAGTGATTAGAAGCAAGGAACTCATGGGAATCAAAGATCTACTTCAGTTGGCACCCTTTTGATGGAATTAAGTTGTTACCATGGCTCTTCTCTTCCTAGATCTCTTTTGGGTGGTTTTTAGGAAGCCTTTCTTGTGTTTGAGCTAAGATATGAAGTTGCAACTTCAAATCTGAGGTCTCTTTGGTCTCTAGGTACATAAAGTTGTCAAGGTTGGCAAGTATGAACCTCCCCTCAAGTGTAATACTTCTTTACAAGCTTTGTTTTGTCATTTTAAGACTTTAGAGCCTTGCATGCACGTAATTTTTGCAACTTTACATGATAAACTTGCCTTGGGAAGATGGATCTACAATATGGAACCTTAGCATGGCTTAAAAAGCATATGTATGGATGAAGTAGTG